GGCTTCTTTTCTTCCAGCCAGCCAGCCAGCCAGCCAGCAGCAGCAGCAGCTCCAGCCTGAGTGCCACATGGGGCTTGCTGCCGCTTCGTTTTATAGCCAGTGTTCCCTGAGCTGTGCCACTTCCCTCTTCCTTAACGGGCGTCACCACACCCAAGGATCCAGCACGTGGGCTTTGTGCTAACACTGATGGGCTTAATCCCAGGGCCAGCAGGAGGCTTGCCTGGGAAGAGGTGTCACCTCAGCCTGGGGCCACAAAGGGGGAGACAGAAGGGGAGGGGCGACTCATGCTCAGCGCCCCTTACGTCTTATGGCTGCTGCTAACCCTATTGCCAATGATCAGGAGCAGGGGGGAGCGCTCACGGCCCCAAGGCACGTTGCTGGCTCCTGCTCCAGTGGGCGGCCACCAGCCCCACGGCCATTTCTGCAAGGCTGTCCTCCAGCAAGGGACCGGCCATGCACTCACCGCGCGCAGCGCTCAGCCATCCCTGCTCTCCGGCCTCTTCCTCTGCGCTTCTTGCCCGAGACGGTGCCTCGCTTCTGCGGAGCAGCTCCACTTGGCAGAGCTGGTCGCGCTCCCGGGCGGAGAAGGCCAGGCAAAGCAGAACTGCCAGCACCTCTCCTGCTCTCTGCCCTAATGCCCTGGGCCTCCCAGCACCAGCGTGTGCCCTCCCCCGCAGCCTCCACTACGCCCCCTGCCCCCCAGGGCTGCTTTCCTGACTCGGAACACAGAGAGAGGAAGAGAGAGAGGAGTGGATGCAGGAAACCTTTATTGTGCCCGGCACGGCAGGAGAAGTGGACAGAGAGCTGGAGCAGGAGCCAGCGAGGCTGGCTGTGGCATGTTGGGGGGACAGAGGATCTTCTCCAGAGCGTGGCTTCTGGTTGCGCAAGCCCCGGCGGTGTGGCAGTGCAGCTCGGGAGGGCTTGGCCCATGGGCCCCACAGGCCTTGAAGGGTCCTGCTCTTGCTGCGGAGAGCAGGAGGGGGGAAGAGAGAGTGGGAGAGCAGAGGGCAGGCCGGGCGCAAGGCCCTGGCCATGGAGGAAGGAGGAGTAGAATAGGGTGCGAGAGGCCGAAGGGGCCGGCACAGCCAGCTGCCCAGGCCTTGGCTGGGGCTGGAGATGCTCAGCGCTCCTCAGTGCCCCGTGCCCACGAGCTCAGCCATGCGTTGCGGCAGCTGGCAGGGGGTCTGGGGCAGGGCGTGGCTTTAGCAGGGCCCACAGGTGTCCCACAGCTTCTTGCTGTAGCGCGGCAAGAGGTAGGGGCTGCAGGCGGGAGAAGCGTAGGGCCTGCCAAAGGTGCAGAGGCCCCCCGAGCCCTGGGTGGCCCCCGCGCCGTAGAGGCCCCCCAGCCCCAGGGAGCCCCCAAAGGCGGGTGCTCCGGAGGAGCCCACCACGGCTTGCTGGGGGAAGGAGCTGAGGATGGGGCCGGGGAAGGTGACGACAACGGGGGGCGGCTGGATGAAGGCCGTCGAGTCGGGGCACTGCCGCGCGCACAGCTCGTTGCAGCTCTCAGCGATGGGCTGGGGGACGGCGACGCTGGTTTTCGGCGGGCACAGGTCGTAGCAAGCCATCTTGCGGGATTGGACGGTGCTCTGCAAGAGGGCACAGAGTGCGATGCGAGGGAGCCGTAGATGGCAGCTGCCCAGGCTGAGGCGCAGGGGCCAGCGGCAGGGGCCAGCAGCAGGAGGAGAAGCGCTCACAGACTTACCCTGTTCCCCAGGAGAAGGCGGTCAGAGCAGTGCTTGCGAGAGCCCCGCGCAGGCCGAGCTTTTATCCAGGCCCCGCCATTGCGCAGCGCCTGCTGGGCCAATGGGCAGAGGCGGCACTCCCTCCTGCCGAGGCCAGGCTGTCCTGCTCCTGCCCTCCCTGAGTCAGCATCCCCTGTCCGGACCAGCACAGGCCCCTTTGCTGGCTTCCCTCCCCTTTCCGCTTGGCGGGCCAAATGCGTGGTGCTGAGCAGGCAGTGCCCGAGAGGAGCGCCTTTGATTTGGCGTTTCGTCACCTCGCCCCTCTGGAGATAACAACTGCAGTGCGTACGTCATGGAGGCGCTGGCGTGTGGCTGCTCCTTGCCCAGCGCCACGACCCCGCTCTGCCCTGGGGCTCTCCACAGCGCGCACGCGGCCACCCCGAGACCAAGCCCCTGGGGAAGAGCTGCGGCACGCAGGGTGCTGGCAGCCTGCCTGTGTCACGCTGCATGCCCTCTTAGGCACGCAGGGGATGAGATGGCAGCGGGGCTAATTTGCCCATTAGGTGAAGGCTGGCGAGCGTCCGAGCGGGGTAATTGCAGGGGCTGAGGGAGCGGGTGGGGGCTGGCGAGGAACTGGCGTCAGCACAACAGCCCCGTGGCGCGCAGGGAGGAGGCCATGGCTCGGCCACCACGGGCCACGTGCCCCCAGCGCGGCCAGCTCCTCCCCACGCTCTCTGGCCCCCATAAAAGCGTGGTCCTGGGCAAGCGCTGGCATCCGCCGCTCCTGCCTGGCTCTGCTCGGGAAAAGGGTGGGTGGCGGGGCCTCGTCGGGCAGGGGCCGGTGTGGGGCTCCCTGGCCACGAGAGCTCTGCCGGAGGCGCTGTGGGCAGAGGGGCTCCGTGGGGGCAGGCGAGGGCCGCGGGCACGCAGGGAGCAGGCGTGGAGAGCCGGGGCGGGCTGAGGAGGGAGCCCCCTGGCTGGGGCACGGGCCCTGCTCTGCCAGGGCATCTCCTCACTCACAGCACCGGCCCTGGGGGCTTTGCATTGCAGGCTCAGCTCTCTCACACCAAGATGGCTTGCAACGACCTGTACCCGCCGAAAACCAGCGTCGCCATCCCCCAGCCCATCGCTGAGAGCTGCAACGAGCTGTGCGCGCGGCAGTGCCCCGACTCGACGGCCTTCATCCAGCCGCCCCCCGTTGTCGTCACCTTCCCCGGCCCCATCCTCAGCTCCTTCCCCCAGCAAGCCGTGGTGGGCTCCTCCGGAGCACCCGCCTTTGGGGGCTCCCTGGGGCTGGGGGGCCTCTACGGCGCGGGGGCCACCCAGGGCTCGGGGGGCCTCTGCACCTTTGGCAGGCCCTACGCTTCTCCCGCCTGCAGCCCCTACCTCTTGCCGCGCTACAGCAAGAAGCTGTGGGACACCTGTGGGCCCTGCTAAAGCCACGCCCTGCCCCAGACCCCCTGCCAGCTGCCGCAACGCATGGCTGAGCTCGTGGGCACGGGGCACTGAGGAGCGCTGAGCATCTCCAGCCCCAGCCAAGGCCTGGGCAGCTGGCTGTGCCGGCCCCTTCGGCCTCTCGCACCCTATTCTACTCCTCCTTCCTCCACGGCCAGGGCCTTGCGCCCGGCCTGCCCTCTGCTCTCCCACTCTCTCTTCCCCCCTCCTGCTCTCCGCAGCAAGAGCAGGACCCTTCAAGGCCTGTGGGGCCCATGGGCCAAGCCCTCCCGAGCTGCACTGCCGCACCGCCGGGGCTTGCGCAACCAGAAGCCACGCTCTGGAGAAGATCCTCTGTCCCCCCAACATGCCACAGCCAGCCTCACTGGCTCCTGCTCCAGCTCTCTGTCCACTTCTCCTGCCATGCCAGGCACAATAAAGGTTTCCTGCATCCACTTCTGTCTCCCTCCTTCTCATTTTGTTCTTAATATTGATGATCGTCGTTACTTGGGCTTATTGGCTGATTAAGTGTGATTAATAGGAAATTCTTATATTACTATATTTTACCAGTTTTGTTTTTTTCTACCAATGAGAGAAGAGCTATTTTGTCTTCTGTTTTTTGCTTGTTTGCTTCTTTGTTTTTATTTTTTTATATATTTATATCGTATCTACTCTTCTTAAGGGACGTCCTTTTTTTCTTTCGTAAGTGGTAGAAGAATATTTCTCTTACTCCATTGTTGCAATTGAAATAATTGGTATGGAGTAGGGAGCTTGACTTTTGCCATACCATCACTTATTTGTTGCTATGCAGATAGACTTTCCTCTTTTGTTTTTTCTTTCTGACTATATCCTGTATTACACCAGAATCTTTTTTTCCATTGTCAGCATGGCTTTGTGCTGTGTTACTGAAAACATTCCGTTACTCTTACTCCCACCTATTAAACCATCTTGCTTTTCCAGTCTTTAAGTTTGATTCTCTCCTTTTTAATGCCAGTAAGCTTTATCTTAACAGCATGTAAAATGAAATGCTCCCAAATTATGTGCCAATGTCATTAATGCAAAGATATAATTAGTGGTTTTCCAAGACAGCTTTGAGTAATGAACCGGTAACCTCCCTCCATTCCTCTAACTCTCACATAACATTAGAGATAGCTTTTCTCTCTGTGTCTATGTCCTGTTTTGCAACCAGACATGAACTCACTCTGAACATGCATCCAGCCCATATAAAAACTATGCAATCATGTTAGCTGGAACCTAATAGCTCTCACCAGTCTTGTTATCTTGTGCTAGGTGCTTGCTGTCTAACACAATATGCATCTAGTCAGGAACTGGCTGATACTTTGCCTGTCACTGTCTCATCTAGTCAATTGAAAATTTGGTAGCCGGTGCTTGGGTGTTTACCACCAAAGTAGCTCTTGGAGGCTCTGCATGAGAATGGGGATCCTGGTGTTGAGAAGAAAAACAGAGAGGAAATCAGTCACCCCATTTTGGGAGGAAAGAGGGCTTTGCTTATCACAAGAGCTGCCCGAGCTGAGGAGATGCAGGGCTAATGTGGCACAAGGCAGGATAATGGTTGCTGAGTTCCAGAAAAATCCTGGCAGCAGTGCCCTTCCTTCAAGTTGTGTGAGACTGGAGAGCAGTGGTAGAAATGGAGAGCCATCTCCTTGCACCCAAAAGGAAGGAGGCCTTCTCCACCCTAGAAGCCTGGGCTGCTCACCCATCCTTGGCACACTCTGCTGGTAGCTGTGCTCTCATCTGAGCCCTGCAGGCTCCAGCTGCATCCCAGCACTCTACAGGCCTTCACCTAAAAGCCTAGGACAAGGAGGGCAGGTGGAGTTGCAAACTGAGCAGACAGGGGACAGAGAGAGAGACTTTTGTGAGGGTCCTTTTTCATTGAAATGTTCCTAATAAATACATAATATCTTAAAATAAAAGCAAGATTCATGAATATGATAGTCAGGCTTCTTTTGTTTTCAACTCATTACTACATACAGCACAGGGCCACCGGATATACCCAGATACTTTTGGAGGACAGTGAAATTACCTATTAAAGTCTGGCTTGCTACTCCATAACACCAACAGAGGGCTGAGATCAAGAAATCATAGGTTCATGGATGTGGCATTTCTTTGGAAGAGTCTGCAAAGTAATACCTAACCCCCCTGCAAAGAATTAGTTCATTTTCTACTTGTTTCACCCAGCTGATGTACAGAGGCATGGCCAGAACTTCCCTGAGGCAACTGTTATCATAGCAGCGATTAACAAAAAAGAAGTAGAGCTTGATCATTGCTCATCAGATACTTATCTTAATAATTGTATCCCGTTGTTTATCTTCCTTCTATTGTTCCTTTTCTGAATATAACCTGACAGAACTTCAGGCCAGGGTTTTACTTTGTATGAGAACACAGTGAGAAGATTTCTAGAAATCATTTAGGAGGAGGTAAAAATAAAAGGAATGCCATCATTAAACTCTACCAACTTTAAACATTTTACTAACCACTGGAAATCTGAGAGCTAGAATAATTAGTGTAGGGGAGATGAAAGATGATAATTTCATCTCAGTGGCAAAGAAAGACTGCGCACAGAGCTTCCTCTGCAGTAGGACCATCTGAGGCAGAGGTGCCAGTGTCACGGGCTTTCTCCAGGGCTACAGCCCTCAGTATGGGAGGCAGGGCTGCCAGGGGCTTTGTCCAGGGCGCCCCGGCTCTTTGGGGGGCTGGGAGAGTGAAGGGGCCATGTGCAGGCGGAGGGAGCCCTGGAGCCCCCGCGGGGCCTGGGAAGAACAGGCGGAGAGGCAGGTATTGGATGCAGGCTTGCTTTATTGTCAAGGCAGGAAAGGACACAAGCACAGAGGTGCGAGCAAGGCCCAGGCAGGCTGGTGGTGCCTGGGGCTTCCAGAGAGGCGTTCTTCCTTCAGGCTTCTGCCAGGCACTGGCTGGCCCAGGGCCAAGAAAGGGCCCTGGGGGGGCAGCACTGGAGGAATCACACAGTTGTACACTAGTAAGGGCAAACAGGAGGAGATGAAACACGTGATAGAAAAGGAAATGAGAAAATAAGTGAAGAACGTCATTTAAGGAGCTATTCTGACTCCACTGCAGTAAGCAGAAAGTTTTGATGTTCTGCTCCTTACTCAGGAGCCCAGTTGAGGATCGAGGTCATATCACTCATTTGCCAGTTCTCTATCATGCAGGGAACATTCTGCGTGATTTAGCAGGGTCCGCAGCTTCCACGGCGGTTTCTGTTGTATCGGTAGGTGTAAGGGCTGCAATAGCCAGAACCGAAGGATCTACCATAGCCAGACAGGCCCCTGTAGCCCAGGGAGGAGCCTCCAAAGCCAGACAGGCCCCTGTAACCCAGGGAGGAGCCTCCAAAGCTAGACAGGCCCCCATAGCCCAGGGAGGAGCCCCCAAAGCCAGACAGGCCCCCGTAGCCCAGGGAGGAGCCCCCAGAGCCAGACAGACCCCCATAGCCCAGGGAAGAGCCTCCAAAGCCAGACAGGCCCCCGTAGCCCAGGGAAGAGCCCCCAAAGCCTAGGGAGCCCCCAAAGCCCCCAAAGACGGGTGCTCCGGAGGATCCCACAACTGAATCCTGGGGGAAGGAGCTGAGGATGGGACCAGGGAAGGTGACAGCAACAGGGGGCGGCTGGATCACGGCCACGGAGTCAGGGCACTGCCGGAAACAGGGCTCGTTCCCGCTGTCAGCGATGGGCTGGGGGCAGCTGATGCCACTGTTGTAGGTGGGGCACAGGTCGTAGCAAGACATCTTATGGGGATGGAGGTCAACCTTCAAGATACAAATATTGATTTTAGTAAGCATAATGCATTTTTTTGCAGACCTAAAAGCACTACAGAGTTCTCTGCCTTTCCATGGACAAAAGTGCTTTGAGATAGACCAATTTACCCGTGTGTAATAGAATTGAAAATTGAAGCAGTAGCAAAATTATTTGCCGAGATGCTTTGGTGAGTCATTGGATCAGCAAGGACTTGGACTTCCCAAGAACCAGGTTTCGTGTTATGCATGATTTCATGACTCTGGCTCATCTTACCCACTGATCTCCTTGGTGCTGAGCCTTGTGGAAACAGAGATTATAAATCATTGCCTATTCATATTTGCTCAGTAACTTGTTTGATGAGACCATTACAAGGGAATTGCAAACATTATTGTTTCCAGTTTCCAAACACTGAAACAGGGCACTGAGATTTATGACTAGTTTAGCAACACTGTTTTGATACTGAGCTCTGGGCTCTTTTGCCAATCTCACCCTTAATGACTTGTCCTCTTTAACACAAAGAAACATCTGTTTATCCGCCAATCCTTAAATTCTCTCCATGACCCCCCTCTTTCTCTTTGTTAAATCAATCTGTAACAGCACATCTTCAACATCTCTCATTTCCTTTCTGTTTCTTCCTCTAACTCAGTGCCTGATCTCTGATTGCTTTCATGCCTGTTTATCTTGAATTAATATAAAAGCAACTTGAGCAATCTATAATAAACTGTACATAATGAAAATTCTGCTTCTAAGCTGAAAATGTTCCCATCAGCCATGAAGATGTAAGCTTTTTCAAAGTTTTATTTCCAGAAACACATATAAACAAACAGAAAAGAGGAATGCATATTTAACTAGTCACATCAATTCTTCAGCTGTTGGAAATAAACTGATAATGAACTTTTAATGCCATTTCAAGAAACTTTTGGTTGATTTTGAAATTAAATGCCTGCCCTGGATGTGGAAAACCTATCCATAACCCTGAGAATAATTTATGTAAACTTTATCTTTTCATCTAAAATTTTATCTACTAGTACTAATTGAAGAGACCATCCACAATTAAATTGTATAGCAAAGAGGTATAATAGTTGTAAAGAGCAGATTCAGACTTACCAAATTCACTGAGAAGAACGAATAAAGAGCTGAGGTTGGAAGAACCCTGAGTGGAGAGTGCTTTTATACACTGCGGACTGCCTGAGGGATGAGAGGCAGGTTTTGTGAATGTAGAGGTAATTAGCTGACACAACATTTTTTTGTATTGATACCTCCACAAAGTGATGAAATTCTTTTGCTTTTTTTTTTTTTTTTTTTTATTACTTGATTCCAATTATCATGTAACATAGCACAACCATTACATCACACAAGGGTCTTTCATTTATAATAGTGATGGGTGAAATTAATGCATCTTTCATCATAAATTATGATTTGTGAAATTAATATTAGTTTTCTATCCTCTTTGGAGTTGCACCATGTATTAAGCTGCTTATACATAGTTAATTCTTCTTTTGCTCTCTCATATGATGATGATATATCAGAAATAACCTGTTGTGAGTTGTTTCTACCAAATACCTTACACAAGGTTTCTTTCTTCTTAAGGAGAAAATAAATTAATTAATAATATAACTAAATCCTCAGGAAGGCAGGCAATATTTTCTGTGTGCTTGGTGATTTTTTCTGAGATGTGATAAAGTTCACATTGCAATCCATGGAGGCTTCTCTGTACTCTTTGAATCAAGCTATATCGCAAGCATCCCTGAACACCCAGTGGCAGAGGTCCTAAACAGTCTTCACATCTTCACATTTTACCTGACCTTCAGACTAGAGCTTAAAGCTGAATTTGGTTATGAAGAAAGAGATATTTATATTTTTAAGGATGGAGAGCTTAAAATAATAATCATCAAAATGCACATTGAATTAACATCCTAATTTGTGACAAAGCAAGTGAAGAGGAGAGCTTTGAAGTGAGATTTCAGAGTTACAGGCTGCCTAAGCCATAGACCAATAGCATTAACAATTCAGTGGATTCATCCCAGGGTACGTGAATCCTGGTGTCCTGTCTGCTCATCTTCTCCGTTTTACCTCTGTCCTTCTTCTGGCATATCTGCTGTGACATTGAACAGGCTCTCTTTGGCTGTTCAAAACTGCTGAGACCTTTTGTGTAAATCAAAGACTGTTCACTGTTGTTAAAGGACATTATGCTGCTCTTATTTCACTTGTATTTCAAATAGGAAATAACACAACCTTTTAGGTATCAGTGTCTAAAGTATCATTGAAGCAACATTTAAATGGACAGATTCCCAGTGAATAGCTGAAATGAGCACAGTGGGATACTCAAAAAATTCAGCTCAATTTGATCCACAAGGTTGAAAGGGTACATTTGCCTGAAATTCCTTTAATTTTCAGCTTGCTCTTCAGGAGTCCTTGATCCTGGTCTACAACTGATCTTGCAACAAAAGCCATGACTGACAGCATCTCTCAGTAGAGAGCAATTATGAGCTGGGAATCCACTTGGAAAAGCAAAGGCTGGCTTTTGCTGAGGTTTCTTTCTTTATGGCATTATTTTAATACCATATCATTATGATGGTTATCGTAATCATCGTAATTATCAACATAGTTATCTTCATATCACATATTATTTCTAAATTATGAGCTTTTCCAACACTGGAGATGCATAAGGAGATTTCCTGAACTGTAATACTGAATAAAAAAGTCCCAAGGATTTATGAGGACATTCCAAGGGATTTTCAAATACCTCACAGACATTACTGGCTTGTATTTACTGCGTCATAATTATATAAAAAGTATGCCTAGATGCTTACACCCCCTATTATGAGAGATTGTCACATTAAAATATCACATTAAAATAAGTAAGTTAAGGTCACCTGGGTCTTTCATGTAGTCAGTTCATGGTTATAACGCTTTTTTGGATCTTCCTTTATTTCTCAAAAATAAAATAAAATAAAATAAAAACTAACTTTCTTTTTATTAAAGTATACATTGGTACACAAGAAGAAATCTGCATATGTTAACTGAACTTTTAATGACACCAAAAAAAGGCCCACTGAATGATAGTCTCTGTCTTCATATTGTATCAGCACTAGACTCCCTTTCAGTATTTACAACTTAACAACTGATTTACTTGGTTCTTGTACTCCTGTATTCCTAGATACGTATCCCTCACAAATAGCAATGGAAAAAGAAAATGTAAAAATATAAAGGAAAGTGAAACTTCAAGAAAAGAAAAAAAAAAAAAAAGAAGAAGAAAATAAAAAAATATGTTTCCAGAGAGACTTGTTATTGCCAGCTGAAATATCTCCCTGTTCCCAGGAAAGACAGACAATTAGTAGAAAATTCTCCAAAAGTCACTAAAAAATATTCCTGTTTCTGACCCCGTTTGCCTTGTAATGCATATTTGGAGATAGAAGTGCTAAGCTTGCAGAAAGTCCCTAGCCTTTATGTGAGCTCCTAAAAGAAATTCCATTTTGTCTCCAGGTGTACTGTCACCTGAATTGATTACACTAAAAGACCTGTAACTGTACAAAAGAAATTACTGTACTCCTGTCATCGTAATAATGCAGGACTCTTAAATAAGTCAAGTCAGCTCACTTCCTCCCCTAAAGAGCAATGGAATAATAAAAAATAATTCCCAGAGATAATGGCGAGGCCTGCGGTGGAGTGTGCATGTCACGCTATGCGTGAGTTTGAAGTGTCTGCAATGCACAAACAAAAAGCAAAAACAATTTCAGCACTTAGAGAAACTACGTGTCCTACAATTTTGGGTTGGTACCTAATTATGAACTCAAGCACGGGATGCCTAATATCCCCCAGGCAATTGAAGAAACTGTATAAAAGCTCTCTCCACTAGGTCCTTCTATCCACTTCTCTTGCTTTGCTTGGCTTCGTGAATTGGGTAAGTCTGATTTCTCTCAAACTGCAAAAAATAATTTGTTGTCTGAATCTCCTAGTTTTAACTTAGAACCAAGTCCTCTTCAGGACCTCCAGGCTGTCAGTGATCTGTAAATTGTTTGCTTCTGAAAATAATGCTTACTTTTTCATTCATTACGGGGCTCTGGTGAAGCCAGGTTTCAGAAAAAGACATTGAGGTATTTTAAGCAGTTTTTAATTGGAAACCTCTAGCATCTTACTGCTGAAGAGATTTCCTTGACTATCTATGACTCCATAATAGTATTTTAGGATGTAACGAATAGTTCATACACATTGCCATAATTCTGGCTGCGTTCAACAGAGTTCTACTGAATTAGTAGCATTAAAGATCCAACTTAGGTAGAAACTATCAACTAGTAGTAATGCTATACTATTGAAATTAACTTACCTGCAAAAATAAATAAATAAATAGATAAATAAATAAATAAATAAATCACAATTGAAAAGTAGATCACTTTACTATCTTAAAGTTAAGACCAGACTCCAAAGTACAATACTGAAAAAGAATAGTAATAGATGTTTATTTCTCAGATGTATTACTGATGCCCTGTTGGACAGTTTCATTATGATCTAATGTTTGATATTTCTCTAATGTTAACATAAATGTCCATGTTTAGCAGACCTCCAACCCCACAAGATGTCTTGCTACGACCTGTGCCCCACCTACAACAGTGGCATCAGCTGCCCCCAGCCCATCGCTGACAGCGGGAACGAGCCCTGTTTCCGGCAGTGCCCTGACTCCGTGGCCGTGATCCAGCCGCCCCCTGTTGCTGTCACCTTCCCTGGTCCCATCCTCAGCTCCTTCCCCCAGGATTCAGTTGTGGGATCCTCCGGAGCACCCGTCTTTGGGGGCTTTGGGGGCTCCCTAGGCTTTGGGGGCTCTTCCCTGGGCTACGGGGGCCTGTCTGGCTTTGGAGGCTCTTCCCTGGGCTATGGGGGTCTGTATGGCTCTGGGGGCTCTTCCCTGGGCTACGGGGGCCTGTCTGGCTTTGGAGGCTCCTCCCTGGGTTACAGGGGCCTGTCTGGCTTTGGAGGCTCCTCCCTGGGCTACAGGGGCCTGTCTGGCTTTGGAGGCTCCTCCCTGGGCTACAGGGGCCTGTCTGGCTATGGTAGATCCTTCGGTTCTGGCTATTGCAGTCCTTACACCTACCGATACAACAGAAACCGCCGTGGAAGCTGCGGGCCCTGCTAAATCATGCAGTAATGTTCCCTTCATGTGAGAACCAACAGACCGGGTCACAACTGAAGACCTCCAAGGATTCACTGCTCTGGTTTAAGACCATGGAGCTGTGCCCTGATTGAATTTCTTCCCCTTAACTCTGTTTTCATTTTCTGATCCAGTGCTTTTGCTTTTCCCCTTGCATTTCCATATTGCCCAGGATAAATGTGTAACAAAAACTTGGAGATAATGGTTCCTGTTTCTTTAAAACATCAACTAAGACATGGGAAGGAAAACCAATCATGTGAACGTATCCTTGGCTGGAGATCAATTTCATACCTCTTGGAAACTCTGGAAATGTATTCTTTTTCTCACTTTAATTAAAAGTTTGTTGCATCAAAATTGCCACATTCGGGTGTTCATTTCTCATGTTTTTACTCTAATTATTTGTCTGATGAAAAGCCTGTAACAGCCTGTTCACATCCTGAAAGTAAGAAAATTAAGGATTTCAAGTGTACAAGAGCAGCATGCAAACACTGAGCACAGAATCATAGAATGCTTTGGGATAGAAGGGATGTTAAAGATCATCTAAGTACAACCCCCCTGCAATGGTCAGGGACTGAAAGAAGTACTGAAAGAATTACTGTAATCTCTCAATTTTTCAAATACAAATTTATATTTTTTAAGAATATGGCCTTCCAGAAAGATTAAAGTAGTACACCTACTAGTTAGAGAATAGCATTGTTAGAAAAATGAAATCATAGATTATTGAATTTAAATGTTTTCCTAAAGATATTAGAATTCACTAATAACTTCTTCCAGACGAGTCTTTGATTTGTCTCTGTGAACTTCAGGTGCTCACTCAACCACTCGAACTCTGTCATCAGGACAGATGTTGCAGAAAATTAAGTTAACTTTCTGTCAAACCCTTAAAGAAATAATGTTTTCCAGGCAGTGCAGTGCAATGAAGCTTTTAAGCCTGAAGTGTGGCTAATGGTCTTTTTATATGCTCAGGAAAACTAAGATATTAGAGGGTCGTTTGTTTGTTTTGGGGGGGAGGGAGAGAGGTGGGACACAACTGTTTCTCCATATAGTCACACCACCAACTAATTCATCTTTGCTAGCAAGAACAGCAGTAAAAGATCATAAACCCATATATGCATCCTCAGCACGGTATTTCTCTGTTCCTCCTATATGGGAGCTCCTTTCACCAGGAACCCATATTTTCAGCCCACTTATTCTACAATTCTGACTTACAACTTCTCCTGACCTTCTACCCTTTCCTTTGATATTTCTCATCCAAGATGGATGAGAGAGCCCACATTCCTCTGGAGGGCTCTTCTTGGTGCAGTTCCTCCTGTCTTCTCCCATCTCAGCAGCCCCACCTCAATAACCTGCACTAGTACCTTCCCACCTCCCTAAATTCATTCCCACTCAGGAACATCATTCCCACCTGAGGGCCTCAGATGTGACCCATTTCTCCCATAATCTGCCTCAAATCCTGCTCAGGCAAGCCCCTGTCTCTACTGCTACTATAATCAGGGAAGATCATGCAGTGGCTCATTAGGGGACGGAGGCTTAGTGTAGCTATTTTCTAAACATTCTATTGTCATTGTAAGCCAGGCCAGCTGGGGAGGGAGGATTTCTGCTTGCAAATATGTGCACCCTGTGCAGCAAAAGGATGATTATCTTCACTAATGGCTGTATCACTTCAGCTGTACTTCTCAAGCTTATAAAATGTAAAGATTGGAGATTCTCTCTTCAGAGTTTTCCCTGTTTAGAGGGAAAAACTTTTATCTGTGTGAGCAGAAATTATAACCAAAAGTTGATTTCTTTGATGCAGAGAAGAATCACTTTAATGAGAAAAACATTCACAGAAAAGCATTACACAATACCAAGCATAAACATTAGAGTGCAGACAGGTCCATCCATAATTATTCTTCAGTTGGACACCAAAGTGCAATTTCATAGGAGTAGAAATTATATATTTTACCCCATCAACTATACACATACATGGAAGAAATAAGGAGACCAGGAATAGAAGCGAAGAAATTAAAGATGTGCTGTGCACTCCCAGCTCCACTGCAGCGGGTTGCGTTGATCGTGACTTCACAACATCTCTTTTGAGACCACTGCTGTGGATCAAAATTGTATCTCTGAGTTGCTGGCTATTCTTCATATGGGCTATTTCTGCATGATTTAGCAGGGCCCGCAGCTTCCACGGCGGTATCTGTTGTACCGGTAGGTGTAAGGGCTGCAATAGCCAGAACCGAAGGATCTACCATAGCCAGACAGGCCCCTGTAGCCCAGGGAGGAGCCTCCAAAGCCAGACAGGCCCCCGTAGCCCAGGGAAGAGCCCCCAGAGCCATACAGACCCCCGTAGCCCAGGGAAGAGCCTCCAAAGCCTAGGGAGCCCCCAAAGCCCCCAAAGACGGGTGCTCCGGAGGATCCCACAACTGAATCCTGGGGGAAGGAGCTGAGGATGGGGCCAGGGAAGGTGACGACGACAGGGGGCGGCTGGATCACAGTCGTGGAGTCAGGGCACTGCCGGACACAGGGCTCATTGCAGCTGTCAGCGATGGGCTGGGGGCAGCTGATACCACTGTTGTAGGTGGGGCACAGATCGTAGCAAGACATCTTGTAGGGATGGAGGTCTGCAAAACACACACTGATAATGGGACTAAGTGGAAGACAAAGACTTGAAAAGAACAATAGTTATAGAAGTTTGGATTTAGTTAATGAGTATAGGAGTTTGAATAAATAGCTTGATTTCCCATTTGTAAGCTTGCTCTATTTCATAATCCTCTTTTTCTGAAAAAGAATTTTGAAAATTCTATAAAAACAGAGTTCACATCTAGAAAAGTAAATGGGGAACTTTGTCTAACTCTGTAACTATCATCCCTCTTGATGATCCAGCAGAGAACTTAAATGTGTGTCCACACATAAAACTGAGAATGAGAAGCAAAGTGACTTTGTTCCACGTCATTTGATGAGTCAGTAGGAAAACCCGGACTTGGGTTCATCAGGTCTACATGAGATGTGGCTATTATATATAACTTAATTACAGTAGCTTTTTCTTCTCACTCATTCCAATTTTGCTGAGAGTTGTTGGAACACAGATTATGGGGTTTTCCCTGCTTGGATTGCTTACAAATGTATGTGACCTGACAATAAAGGACAGACGGTAGCATTATCAGCTCAATTCCCACCTAGGCATCCACTGCACTGATACAAGCCATAAGATTTCATTATGAAAATCAACGGAATCAACAGTGTCAGCCCTAATGTCTATCAAAACACTCTTCTGAAATTACTAGTCCCAGGACAAAAAGGAACTCCTCTGTAGACCCCAGAATCTAGTCTACATTTTCTCCTATAAATTCAGTTATTTTCTCAAGTTACGTTTTTACTCTTCTCTGCTCACTGTGTCCCGCAACACCCTAGCAGGTCTTTGAGGAAGAACATGAAAGTGAGAAGGTAAAGGAAAGACAAAAGGACAGACAGAAGCTTTTCTGTACCAGGACAACACACAAAGCTTCCTCAGATGCATAGCTTGTTGATCTCAAGTTGGATGGATGTCTGCACCGGTAACACCCATATTACATGCTGAACCTCACAACATAAAAACTTTGCAACAGGGTAAACGCACTGCAATCAGGGTAGCGTTATGCATGTCCCAGTGTTTCTGACATTGAGGTAGTACCTCTGCAATGCCTCATGCACCAAGGAAGTGTATCTACAAGCTCAGGGCTGACATTAGGATCTCTATCCCAATGCAGTGTCAATACACTCGACAATATGGATGGTGAAGTTAAAACCAGCAATAAAAAGATACACTAATAGCAATAGAGAAGAAACAGCCTTACCTGAGTCATCAAGAAGTCAAGGGAAATGTTTGGAAGAGCTATGAGAGAGAAGAGTTTTTATATTCTATCTGAGCAGCTGGAGGTACAAGATCAGCACTGGTTGCCCGCCCCATTGTCAAACACGTGTAACCCATCAAAATTATGACATTGCTTTGCTCATCATTGCAGTTTATAAGACCTTTCAAAATTCTCTTGTAAAAGGGCCTAAACATTACATTAGATGACAGAGAATTCTTTCATCTTCTGACTTGTTGTGGAAAATTAATATCTGGCATTATTCCAGTCACTTCTTTGAAATTACAACAGAAATTATTAAGCTGGCTCCTCTTGTATTAACTTAATGCCTGGAGAGTGTCTCATGGATTTATCAGAACAACAAACTGCTGTCATGGACAGGATTTTTGTTTAAGTACATCTAATTCACATTACAGCCTGCCAGAACAGAAGTTAAAGACTGTCAATTCAATGTGTAGGAAGGCTGGAGGTGGTTTCCGCATGCTTAGCTTCTCCACCCACAGGTGGGGACCTCGGCACCTGTGGGGGGCAGTAGTATTTGGCTGAAAAGGGGACAATTCAACTCTGAAGAGCAGCAACAATTCCAGGCACCTGCAAAGTTTGCTTCAGTCTAGTGTTCTGGATAGGGCTTGTGTAGAAATTGAAATTTGAGCAGAAAAACTGACAAATCCTGAGTTTTGGAGTGCTGGGAGCTCTTTTCATACAAATACCAGCTAAATGTGTTTCTCTTTCCATCAGTCACTCAGACAGCTGGATTCTGTGTCAAAAATGTGTGGGGAGAAGTTTGCACAATTTCACAAAGCAGATAGGAGGGAAAAATATGGAATGAGTTTCTGAATTTAACTAAATCTGCAAGGGGATTGGCAATGCCAAAGAGATTTTTTTCCAGGTATTGTTGGTTTAATATGGTTATAACCAAGATGGTTTCTGAGAATGTTTAATAGGCCCAAGGAAACATACATTTTTTCAGTACAAATGGATCCACAGGTGAAATAAATGAAATAAATGAAATGTGACAGAAGTGTTTTGAATTATTGACTGATTCTCAGGAATCCATGATCTGTGATACACTGTGAGCCACAACTCTAGAACAAGGCTGAGAGAGAGAGAACAATAGAGAATAGAGAACAATTATGAGCCTGGAACATAACGTGCAACAGAAAGGCTGTTTTTTCCCTTGTTTACAGATGTGCTATTTTAATACTGCAGATTCTATGCCATAGATTACCATAAATTATGAGGTGGGTTTCTCAGCCTTTGAAGTGGTTAGAACTTTTTCTGGACAATATTTCTAAGATTCCAGGGAACAAGTCTTTTCAAATGCTGCAAACTATCCACTAATAATTTAAGAATGCTTTCTTACAATTAAATTAATGACATGTACCTGGATCTAGGTGCCTAGCAATTATGAAATTACATCACATTAAAATGCATAATTCAAGGTCATTATTGTCCTTGCGATAAACAGTTCATGACTGTTTTCTTCAATAAAGAAGTATAAAGTGAAATACAAATTTATAGAAAGAATACATGATTTCATAAGCCATAAAATCAGTGTAGATTTGTCATTTTCAGTTACACATTTTTCTCAGGTTGTTCCAGTTCTGTCAACGATCAGCCTTAATCCATGCAAAGGATTCCTATGTCTCTAATGTGGCATACCCCTAGGATGCTTTCTTTTGGGTGTCATATTGGGCTCATGTTGAGAAGCTGAAAGTGCAAATGATAAAAAATGATGACCTCCAAAGTTGCTCCAATTACCTCCATTTTATTTCCAGATAACCTAGTTTTCTAATGGAAAAACATGTGCACATTGGGTGATCACAGTGCTGATGAGCTGCACAGTAAGCAGTCATGTTTTGCCATTAATAATGGAGAAGCTACGGAAAGCATTAGCGTTATTCCTGTTGTAACACCAAGGATGTGAATGGAATGATAGCAGGAATTAATATTATATATAATCTTTTGATGAAAATGATGAAAGAGACTATTGTGATGAAATGCACTTATCATATTTCATGAGAGTTCAAACCAACAGTCAGCAAAACTTTGAGGACCTATGTGTCACATTAGTTTTGGGTTTGCCCCAATTATGCATATGCACAAATTGTACCTTAGGTGATCCCCATCATCTAGGGAACTATATAAAAACTCTCCTAGTCCAGGGCTCTTCATTCCGCTTTGCTTGCTTTATTCTCCCCCGTGAAGAGGGTAAGTATCATTCTATGTGATCTCTTTCCTAAAATCCAAGTATCTTTTTCCAGATTATTTTAATTCAATATTTATGGAATCATCCATAAATGTACTAAGATTCTTAATAATGTTTGATTATTTCTCTGTGAATTTTTTTTTTTTTTTATTTAGTGTTGGACATCAATATATTCAGGTTTAAAGTGGTAAAGTTAGGATTTTCAAAATTGGTCATTTCTTGTTAATACAAACTTGAGCTAGCAAAACAGCATCCAAAACTTCAGCAGAAAGTTGTTCTTGTCACTAAGAATTTTTAAAGGAATTTACATGTACATTTTTTATATGTGTCTATTTAAATATATGTATATTTTGAGGGGACAGGCTTACCCAGAAGGGATACAGAAATATTGTCTGAAGAATATAGAGATGAAACTAGGAAATCTTAACTTACCCTTCACATTGTCCTTACTTTGAGCAAGGAGTTGGACTAGATGACCTTCAGGAATATCTTCTAACCTAATATTTTCTATGGTTCTATGGTTCATTATAGTTCTAATGAAAAAAAAAAATTTAAAAAAATGTTCACTGAGTCACAATCTTCCCACGTTTTTTATTGGAGACTAGATGGAATCCTATGGTCATATTCATTCTGAAGTGCTCAGACCCCAACACACTTATCTGCAGTAGTGACATAGCTGTAGCTGAGTGTACCAGTTTCACATCTGGGAAATAATCTTTTTACCTACCCTGTGACTCTCAAACTACTTTGCAAGCACTTCAGGGCAGGGAATGCCTTCTTTAATCTGTGTTTATAGGAGGCTCAGCATACTGGTAGAACAATTTTAGCTATTGCATTTGGAACAAGTTACAAATCAATATCCCAGAGTTGTTATTCCAGCTACCCATTAATTTACCACATGAGCTTCACTGCTATTCAGGTTACCCTGCTTTGTTTCTGCTATTATAAAACAAGCATAAAACAGCATTTTAGACGTGGACAATGTAAGAGTGACTGCAAAATATAGTGAAAGTAATTTGCAGAGTAGGTGCTAGATAATATAATTGTAAGTGATCAAGAGTTAGGGAGAACAAAGAGCTACTTCTTATAGGAGGACAGGCATAAGAAATTAGGAATGAGACTATAAAAGAAGTGACTTTTCAGTGTGCAATCTGGACAATGCTGATTTTTACAAGAAGGAGAGTTTTTGCATAAATTATACTGAAGAGAAGGGGGCCAAGATCTGAAAGATAAAGCCACTATTCTAGTCCACATGTCCAAATTTTAAACTCTTTTTCCAACAGAATTTGTACTTTTAATTTACTCATCAGTGTGTTTTGCAGACCTCCATCCCTACAAGATGTCTTGCTACGATCTGTGCCCCACCTACAACAGTGGTATCAGCTGCCCCCAGCCCATCGCTGACAGCTGCAATGAGCCCTGTGTCCGGCAGTGCCCTGACTCCACGACTGTGATCCAGCCGCCCCCTGTCGTCGTCACCTTCCCTGGCCCCATCCTCAGCTCCTTCCCCCAGGATTCAGTTGTGGGATCCTCCGGAGCACCCGTCTTTGGGGGCTTTGGGGGCTCCCTAGGCTTTGGAGGCTCTTCCCTGGGCTACGGGGGTCTGTATGGCTCTGGGGGCTCTTCCCTGGGCTACGGGGGTCTGTATGGCTCTGGGGGCTCTTCCCTGGGCTACGGGGGCCTGTCTGGCTTTGGAGGCTCCTCCCTGGGCTACAGGGGCCTGTCTGGCTATGGTAGATCCTTTGGTTCTGGCTATTGCAGCCCTTACACCTACCGGTACAACAGATACCGCCGTGGAAGCTGTGGGCCCTGCTAAACACAAGAAAATCCACTGAATAAAGTACCTGTGAAAAACAAAATGCAGATTCACCAGTGAGTGAAGGAGTGCCAGCTTTGTGCAAGCACTTGCAAATCCTGCTCAGTGTTTCACCTTCTGCAGGCTCCAACCTCTCCTTTTTTCGTTTGAATTCTTCTCTGATATATTCATGGGTTCAGTTCCCTGTTATCTTCTATGTTATCATACTGGTGTCTGAATGCAGTGAGACATGTAACTTGGTGTCTTTCAAAATGCATTTGACTCTGACATCTTGGATATACATTCTTGATATTGTGATACGTGTTTGTTCTTTTCATTCTCATTAAAATTCCATTGCATCATTTAAAAAGAAAAGTGTCTTGTGGTTTACTGTTTTCATCCATTCTGAGTTTGCCAACTTTTTTGAGTAAAACTGCCTGTTGTAGTTGGAGCTGCAATAATATTGTGCAAACCCTGCTCACATGGTGGAAGTCTTCACAGGGCACCCTTGCTAGACCTGTTTCATCACTGAACTACAACAACATGGTCACAAAGTACTTGCCATAGATGAAAATTGGCTTTCTTTGCATGTTACCTTATTAGATTCCCCACTCATTAGTCTGTGAGATAATACTTTGAACTACATGTTCACACTCTGAAGACTGAGCCCTTAGTTATTGCACTACAGACTTGTAATCCAATGTTGTACAATTTCACCATGACAGCTCTTAATTGAAGCTTGGTGGTTAATACCAAATGAATTTCAGATTCTGTGTCTCTCTAGCACAGATCAGCCTGGGTCCATACTGTTAAATTTTCTCTCTCCAGTAATTTTTGGCAGTAATTTTGTGTGCATGTGACAATTCAAAACCACAACAAGGACTATTTGCATAATTTCTAAGTATATCTGTTTGAGTTCCTTGGTTTGAGAGTTCTTTAGATCCGTTTAAGTAATATATATATGAAGTATACATTTAATTTATATAAATATTATATTGGTATCCTCAAACCAAGTAAAATTACTGTACCACACATTTTCTGTCTTCTGTACCACACATGGTCTATCTTTTCTTGTTATCAGTAAGGCATGTAACAGTCTCCTGATCAAGCAGATGGTTATCACACAAGATGTTTTTCTTTCTGTGGTTCAGCTGCCAAAAGATCTCAGGCTACGTATTTTACTAGAATAAGAAGCATGGCTAACCATACCGTAGGAGTGTTCAGTGAACATCTGACTGGAAACTGAAGAGAGAATATAAAGAAAGCAATGCAAGAGCTGCTAAGCATCTCCAGCTCCACTCTCCATTTACAGAGACAGTATATACTGCACTTCCTCTGCACCCAGTAGCCAAAAAGCCAGGTATGAATCTGCCTTTTATTTGTTCTTATTTTCTAGTCATCACTGATAAATTGACTAGCTTTCCAGCATTAGCAAGACTCACAGCTTCCATAATGGTATCCAGCACCAAAACAACAGCCATTAAGAATGTACAGCTTGCCTAGTCCTGAAAATCTGAGAAAATCTGTGGTAAAGACCATCATAACCAAAGTTCCCATTAACAAAAGGAGCCCTTAAGGATGGGTGCTGACAAAGATCCTGCTATGCTGTCCTGGAGGAAGGAACTAAGCATGCGGTCTGGCAAGGTGATGAGAGCGAGTGGTGGCTGAATCACTACCCTCAGGTCAGGGCAGTCAGCTCATTGCAGCTCCTGGCACTGGGTCCAGAAACAGACTGGTCAGCTGACAACATGACAACGTCTAACTGCAGCATAGCCCAAACCCCCTGCAACAAAAAGCTTTGAGCTCATGGTTATGGGAAAGGCCCAGCAGCCTGTATCCACAGGAACACTGACTTGGTTACAGATCCATCCCACCCCCAGCCCAGATCTACTTGGTCAGATCAATGTAGTTCCTCAGATTTGTATGAGCCTTCTAAGAAAAAAAAATTAAGTAAGAATTAATTATTGCTTAGAGGAAACACAAGAATATAGAAGGCTACATGCTTCACCAGACAGATGACTGCTCTTATCCTAAGCCTTTTCTCTGATACAAGTCAGTTCCATGTTGTCTGAAATTTAGTGCAAAGATCCTGATGCTGTCCATCACTGAATGAACTGCCTAATGGCTCACTGGGCTCCTAACACCCAGAAGGCCCTTTTTGCACTGAGTAAGGGAGCTTTCCTTATGTCCTTTTAATGTCTGGCTTTCTTCCATACAAACTAAGTTGATATGGCATCTGGAAGGCCAAGAAACTAGGAGGACATGTTCTCCGTTCGACCTGAGTGTGACTAGGAGTGTAGGAGTGCAGAGCAATTTGTAGGGTTACAGTTTGAGGTTTTGGCTTCTGCTTAGAAGATTATAAGCCAAGATCTGGGCTAGTGGAGAGCTGATAGCTCCTGACAATAGATTTAAAAAAATACCAGTTCAGCCCTAAAAGACAGCATATAACATTGCTGCCTTGTAAATGACAAAAGAGGAGTAACTCAAATTTACATAAAACCCAATAGTTTGATATCTAAAGAATATCTTTTCTCCAAGAAGAAGGCAAGAGAAGCAAATCACAAGGCAGCTTTGAGGAGGGACTTTTATACACTTCTCAAACTGCCTGAAGGACCTGAGGCTCCCATTAACACCAGCCCACATTTATCACACATGGTTCACCTCAAAATGATGAAACAGTTTTGCTCAATATTTATGTTTATTAGTTGATTCAAATTCTCATGCTGCTTGAAATGCAAATTACAAAACAAATATTTCTTTCATCTTAACACTTAATTGGCAAGATTCATATTCCTGGTAACATTCCACTAACTCCATTAGAATGACAGGAGGAATTATGTTGGCTTCACTTACTTACCTCTTGTTTATATAGTTGACATAATGATGGTGGCTCAAATGTCAACCACAATTGACGTCTGCTTTCATACGCAGGTTTTCTTTCCATCCTTCCTTACCCATGCTAGATAAAGTATAATTGAGACAAAACGTGGTGTCTTTCTTGTGAAATCAATAATCTTTGCATGAGGTTGGAACTTACATTTGAACATGACCACCTTGCGTTTTTTCAGGGGAAAAATCAAAAGAAATATTGTAAAGTACTTTTTAAAATCACCCAGACTCATGCCTTATCTGCCAAATATCCAGTTCTTCTGTTTCTTCATATCTGAGAGGTAAATCCATTCATTAAAACAAAGGTAAATGGGGTAAACAGTTCACTGAACTTGACTTGGAAAGTCCTAGGAAAAGCTTTCAAAACACGAGGACAGAGGCAGGTGCTGCAGATCTTTGTGATGCAGACAGCAAAGGGTCTGTGAATTCACGCAACATCAGCATTGAAGGAGTCTGTACACAAATAAAAACAAATAAATGCAAACCTACTTTGTAATAAGAAATCAGCTGAAATCCTAGAGTTAGAAGTTATGAGCTGGTAACAGGAAGAGTCCACTTGACCAGTACAATTTCAAAAAAATGTATTTCAAATGCTGGGCTTCTTGAATACAACCACATACTTATGTTACAATAATGACGCACCAATTCATGCATAAACCATTAGAGAGGCTTTATGAAGTGCTTAAAAACCACACACAAAAAAGCAATTTAAAATCCTTTGTGAGTATGATTGTTCTTGTGATCCTCCAGGGCTGTCTCAAAGTATGTAAGAAAAATCTCATAATTTAAAGATAATTTCTGTTAGAAATGTTGTGGTGTTTGTAATTTAACAAACAACTGATCTGTAAGCAAACAAGGAAATCTGAGGTTGAATGAGGCACTGTTTATTAGGGAGAATTTCAGAATATGGGTGGGATATATCTAATTGAACCTTCCCTATTTAAATGCTGGGTGTTTCATTTAAGCTTGTTTTGTGTGTCAATGAAAGCAAAATTGCTATGTTTTGAGGATGATACAAATACTGGTAAGGTAAGCATCAGGATGAATTGTCTTGCAACAACTCTTGTTCCTCACCAGCAAATATCAGGGAAGCCAGAATAAGTGGTTCAGACAAGTCACTTGAGATCTGGGAAGTCAAAACAGGGCTCTCCAAGAGTATGCACTCTGCAGGTGATGTTCTGCTAATCAGGAAAGAAAGAGGAGGAAAAAAATCCATTGCTATAATATTCCATTGCTTTTGCTGCCACTTACCCAGTGTGTCTGTGAAGAAAACACTTAAAAATGGCTTTCTGAAGGTATGGGTTCACTCTTGTATTTTATGACTGTGGGTGGGAACAGGATCAGAAGGTGTCTTCAACCTCACTGAATATCTCATTGCAAAATGTGTGAGTAGATTAGATTCTAGCCTAGTTCTGAAGTGCTTAAATATAAACACATATATGACAGCAAGTTATAGCACAGATTAAAATCATTACGGGAAGTTAATGAAGGAAGTGCTAAATAAATAGAACCAGTTTAATTCTGCTTGCAATGCCAGTGAGGAGGGTGGAATGATACTAGCAAAGAAGCTGGTCAATTAAGCTCTAGATGAAAGAGACCTGGGAGCTGGAATGTGCATATCATGCTATTCAGAGATTTAGGGTGATTTTGCAAACAGCGAGCAACAACAATTTCATCATTTTGGGAAGTTAAATGCTTCAAATTTGGGCCGGTTGGTGATTATGACCTCATGTGTACACTGCCTCAGCCCCCCCCAGGCAATCTGAAAAGCTGTATAAAAGGAGTGGGTACACAGACATACTTCATCTCCTTCTCCTGCAGACTCTCCTCTACATCAGGTATGTCTCATCTCTTTCTAAATGCCAAAATGTTTTTGTACTGCACCTTAGAATACAGTACCCTACTACCATGTTAAGTTTAAGTTTGTAGAACTACTTTGTTGTGTCGTAGCCCCCTGCCCTCCCCCCCCCCTCCTTGTTTAAAGTATATTTGCAAGTTTTAGGAGACACAAAAAGGATTGAGGCATTTATTTCACTATTATTCATATTTTGGCATTTCTGTCCTGTTAGCAGATTGAAAATATAGGAAGGCATAAGCTTTAAAATGCAGAGTTCTCCTGTACCATTTCAGTT